TAATTGGTCCGGGGTTGATAACGTGGTTGGGATTCTTGGAAAAACAATACGTTGATTGGCTGGAGGGAGCAGGGTATTAATTAGAATTGATCAACTTCAATTCTATTTTTGGTTTTAACTTTTAAGTGCTTCCGATGTGTATTCTCTCATCCGGTGTGGTGTGAATTTCTCTCTCTAAGATCTCTTGTCATTGCACGTGTATGGGAAATTGTGGATGCCATGCTGTATCCTTTCAATCAGGCATATAACAGGTGGCTCAACACGCGGTGAGGCAGGTAAGTGCAATGGGCTTGAGCAGGAATTGGCTTACTGATTGTTTGTGTCCATCATGCGTTCGCTGAACGTGTGGTGAGCTGGCTAAGTGCAACAACGAGCTTGAGCAGAAATGTGCAGTTCTGTTGTTGCATACTCGTGAAACACAGTCATAAGTATGGCGCAGATTCCCAGAACCGACCAGATAATACAGAGTACATACGAATACAGCGGAAGACTTGAGATACATGGATTGACTCGCTGCTGCGCTAACTCCTTCTGCACTGCTTCTCCTCGCTGCTGCGCTAATCTCCCTGTTGCTCCACCCTTCCCAACGCTAAAATGCTGCGCTAATCTGTAGACTAACTCGTAGCCTAACCTCCAGACCAACTGTAGACTAACCTACCCGACTGAGGCTGGTACCCAGCTTATATAGTGCTGGGTCGGCCTCAGTCCTACTGAGTGCCTTCGGGTCTGGACTGTTGATCGGGCCGAACGGTTCAGATCGGATTTCGAAATCTGAAACAGTGGTGCCTAAACTGCGCTGCCGGCTGGTCCTACCGATGGACCGGTACCTGGCCTAACCAACTAGCCGTTGGGTCTGGTGGGGTCTAAACGAGGCCTACCGGACCCTAAACTGAACCGACGGTTCCTAGGCCTACCTGCACCTAGCTGGGACCGTTGTGACCCGGTACCTAGGCCTAAACCGTGCCTACTACAGAACCGGGCCCAAACTGAGGCCCGTGTGGTATCAGTATGCCACATCTGTACTCTTTCATCTTGTGTTCATTAGAAGTGGTTGGTCTCTTCTAAAAGTTTCTTTCCTTCTATCATGTGCTCTCTCTCTCTCTCTCTCTCTCTCTCTCTCTCTCTCTCTCTCTCTCTCTCTCTCTCTCTCTCTCT